AATCCCCCAGCACCACATGCCAGCCAGCCCCGCCCCCTGGTGGGCTGAGCTGGCCTCTCTCTCTCTCTCTCTCAAAAAAAAAAAAAAAAAAAAAACAGATTAGAGTATGGTGCTCCAAAAAGAATGAGTTTTATTCAGCTGTTAAAAAATAAAGAGCTGTAGTTACAGCTCAGTAGCACAGTGCCAGTTCATGAGTTTGATTCCCAGTACCAAAAGAAAGTTCTTTTTTTTGTAGTATGTGCATATGGTTAGGTGGTAAAGTGTTTAGCATGTGCAAGGCCTCAGTTCAATCCCCAGCACCACTTAAAACAAAACAGAATAGTAAATCATTCACAACAGTGTCCTTCCCCCAAGTGTTCATCCACAGATGAATGGATAAACAGAAAAGGGGTAGGTACGGACAAGGGAATGTCACTCAGCTTTAACAAGAGAAGAAAATTTGACATATGCTACAGCATGGAGGAACCTGTCCTTTTGTAAGTCAGTTGCAAAAGGACAAATTTTATTCCACTTACATGAGGTACTTATGAGGTCCCATTCATAGGCAAACATAGAATGGTGGCTGCCAGGGGCTGGGACAAGGCAGTGTGGGACATTCTTGCTTAACGGACATAGGGTTTCAGTTGAGGATGACGAAAACTTTCTGCACATCAGTGGTGGTAAGTTATATAATAACAATAATGTCCTTAATGATAAAGAATTATACACTTAAAAATTAAAATGGCAAACTTTCTGCTAAACAATAAAAAAAGTTTAAAAAATACTATTGAAGATAGACATGGAAAGCAGTACTGATGTATTATTATTATTTTATTTTATTTTTGTGGAACCAGGGATTGAACTCAGGCCCTTGCGCTTGCCAGGGAAGCGCTTATTCCACTGAGCCATCTCCCAGGCCCCCTGATGTATTATTAAGTGAAAAAAAACAGTAGGGGTATGACAGTAGGGATATGATCCTATGTCTTAGGAACTCTGTCAATACACAGAAAACAGTGAAAGAGTGAATAACAAAATCCTAATGGTGTCATCTATGCGATGGGCAGGTTATAGGTGCTTTTATTTATTTATTACTATTTTTTTTTGGTCTTTTTTTTTTTTCAAAGTTTTATTGATAAACAGCAATGAGACAGTTTCAAATCAAATCAGAAGTACAGTTTCAACAAATAATACACTGCATATATTCTTCTTAGTGGTTAATTGCTGTACAAGATGCGGACTTGTGGTGCTTTTATTTATTTATCTATTTATTTAGTTATTTAGTTATTTGGCTGGCTCGGCCCACCCTGAGGGTGACGCTGGCGCAGCATGTGGTGCTGGGGATCCAACTGTGGTCCCCTGCAGCTGCCTAAGCTTGCCTAAGCAGGCATTTTAGACTGCTGAGCTATTTCGCTGGTCCCGGTGCTTTTAATTTTTGTCCCTTGTGCCCTATCTTGAAATCTCCTTTCTTCACGGTAAACACGCATTATTTTTGTAATTTATTTATTATTATTTTTTAATGTATGTATTTAGTACAGGGTTTACAGGGTCTCACTATGTAGATTGGACTTGTACTGACAATTTCCTGTTTTTAGCCTCTCAAGCTCTGCAATTGCAGGTGCGCGCCACCACACCCAGTCTCAATTGCTCTCTCAGCATGTCCCAGGGGTAGGGCCGGCACAGCACACTGGGGGATCAAACCCGGGTCCCTGCGTCTACCTAAGCAGGTGCTTTAGCCCACTGAGCTATCTGGCTGGCCCTGTAATTTTATTATTTATTTATTTATTTTGCGGGTACTGGGAATTGAAGTCAGGATCCTGTGCTTGACCGGCAAGTGCTTATTTGTGACTGAGCTATCTCCCTGGCCCCTGTAATTTTGAAAGTATAATTCTTTTTATAAAATGAATGTGCGTTCTTAGATCGAGGTCAAGATCCAAAGCCTCAAAGAATGCAATGAGTACAACTGGCCCTCAAAGAAAGATGGGCTGTTAAAACACACTTACCAACTTTGAGAAAAGTTTTTAGTTCCAAGGGTCGCAGCACTGGTTGCTTTTCTATGCGGCCATAGGTTTCTGCTATGCTCTCTACTTCCACTTTAGGGCACTTAAATAGTTCATAGGTCCCATCTCGGTTCTGTATAAAACTACGGGTGATTTCCAAGGGCATCTGGACACCAAGACAACAACAAAAAAAGTGAAGTGGGGAAAACTTGCCTTCCTTCCTTCCTTCTTTCCTTCCTTCCCTCCCTTCCTTTCTTCCTTCTTCCCTTCCTTCCTGTCTGTCTGTCTTTTTGAGACAGGGTCTCTCTATGCAGTTCAGGCTGGTCTTGAGTTCACTTTGTAGCCCAGGCTGGTCTCAAACTCAGAACAATCCTCCTGCCTGAACTTCCTGAGTGCATGTGCCACCATGCCTGGCCAGGGAAAACTTTCCAAGTAGACACATATTTGGATGCCAATAAATGTTTACTATCGCTTCTTTCTTGTTAAGTATGTGTAAACTGATGAAAACTTTCTTTTGTACTTCCAAGCAAATGCTATCAACAAAACTGCCTTTTTTTCCTTTTATGGCTTTCCTTAATCTGAACTCTAGCCAAACCATATATCCACTGAACCTGTAAGATTTTCACAGCTCATAGCTGTGCGAGCAGTACTGACCTACTCTAGAGTCAGTCTGACTCCTTCCCCTCCTGCTCTGCTGGCAGCGTTCTTCCAAGCACCTCTGAGAGCACCTGCTGTGCCCTCACCTCCTGTTGTTCTCACTGTCCCTGGGACTGAGCCAGACAGCAGTGTCTTTGCTGCCAAACAGCAGGATGACTAAGAACAAGTTACTGCGCCTCTCAGAGCCCACTTTCCCATCTGCAGAACGCAGTTCTAATGGCCTTGTGTCACTGGGAGACTGAAGAGGGCTGAAAATAAATGACGTCCAGCAGCAGGAGCTCCTCGATCGCTAGCTCTCTCCACTTGCTTGCCTTTGCCCTGAGTTGCTTCAGTGCTTCCTTGAACGTCACTCATTCTAGGCTAGCAGCTGCTTCCAGACACCATGCGTGTAAGGTTTCCCAGCAATACTGCGTGTGAAGGCACATGCCTGCAACTCTAGCACTCTGGGAGGCAGGGGCAAGAGGAAGTCAAGTTCAAACTCACTCTGGGCAGTTAGTGTCTTAAAATAAAACAATAGGCTCGGACACAGTTCTGTTTGAAGGTTCTGAGTTCAGTCTCCAATATTACAAAAAAGAAGTTCCCAGAGTGTCTTTAGCACCAGTAAGCCTTTTTTGGGGGGGCGGGTAGGGGTAGACAGGGTCTTGTGTATATTTCATGTTGGCCTTGAACTTAGTATGTAACCCAAACTGGCCTCAAACTCACTGAGATCCTCCTGCCTCAGCCTCCCAAGTGCTGGGATTATAGCTGTGCGCCACCACACCTGGCCAAAGCAAGCCTTTTTCTATTGTTCATGTGTAAGTTCTGTAGCCCCTGGACAACTTATTCTTTCCTGAACATAATCTTTTCTGAACATAACAATGTTAATCTTAGCTTATTATTATTATTTTTTGTCTTTTTTTTTTTTGGCAGAACCAGGAATTGAACTCAGGCCCTTGTGCTTGCAGGGGAAGCACTTATTCTACTGAACCACCTCCTGAGCCGTAATCTTAGCTTATTAAATTACATTTTTAAATGTATTTGATACAAGGTCTATAGGCTCTCACTACTTAGAGCAGACTCAAGTGATTCTCCTGTTTTCAGCCTCCCAAATGCTGGGATTACAGGCGCAGGTCACCACGCCCAGGCTCAATTGCTGTCTCAGCGTGCCCCAGGGGGCAGGGCAGGCATAGCATGCCAGGGATGAAACCCCAGTCCCTGTGTCTGCCTAAGCAGGCACTTTAGTCCACTGAGCTATCTGGCCGGCCCTTAAATTTCATTATTCTAAATTTTCTACAATATTCCACTACTTTAAGAAAGGAAACTCTTTCTCAAATTTTCAGGATATGCTTGAAAAATATATGTGAAGATGTCTAATGTGTTCCTGGTAAAGGAGAATACACAATTAAGGGTAATTTTTTTTTTTTGCAGAACCAGAGATTGAACTCAGGCCCTTGTGCTTGCCAAGCAAGTGCTTATTCTACTGAGCTATCTCCCTGGCCCCAAACTCTTTTTTTTTTTTTTTTTTTTTTTGTGGGGGGGTCATTTCTTTAATGAGATACAAATTACAATTTGGAAAGGAAGATTTAATTGTATTAGGTGCCTGATTTCACAAATAGTATGACACCCAAAATTATTTATAGACTTTTTCTAGCTGTTTGCCAGTCAGATCTAGGGCTCATTGTAGCTATCAGGGGATCATTATTTAAATTATAAGAGAAAAACTATTCCTGATTCCAGGGGCAGAGAAATATACATACTCCAATTTAAAACATTTTTAAATGAGGAAATACCCACTAAAATCAAGGTTAGAAATATAAACACCATTTCTTAATAATCTCAGCATAGAAAAGGAACTGTCATTGGCATCTGAACTCAGGGAACCTGGACAAACTGAATTCCCCACACTCGCTTCCCTCTCTACCCTCCCACTACTGCAGATGTACATTCTTACCTCTGGGGTGTCTAAGATTTGTTTAACTTGCAGGATATTAGTGATATGCCAGGTGTACTTGGAAAATGTTCCCAGGGGCAAGGCATCTTTTCGAACAAAAGCTTCAATACAAAAAAGATAAAATTAGGCTACCAAAACACCCGTATTTTCTTTCACTGCATTTGTCTCTCAATATCTATAGAGTCCAGTATAGTGCTATTTACTTCTTATAGAATCTCAACCTTTTTTTTTTTTTCAATCTTTTTGAGACAGGGTCTTGCTATACAATTCTGGCTGACCGCAAACTCACACTGATCCTCCTACTCAGCCTCCCAAGTGCTGGAATTCCAGATATGCACCACCACACTGGGCTAGAATCTCAACCTTTTAGAAAGAAATGCTAGGCCAGGTATGATGGTGGACCCCTGTAATGTTAGCATTGGGAGGCTGAAGCAGGAGGATCATTGTGAGTTTGAGACCAACCTAGGCTACAAATTGAGTGCAAGGCCAGTGTGAACTGCATAGTGAGACCCTATCT